GCTATGTCGTCGCCTCGCCCCGGCGCCCACCCCCCGGCCCAGCCGTCGCCCACCGGCGCCATTGCCAACCCCCCCGCCAAGATGCCGGCCTCCAGCCAGCCGGTCCAGCGGGGCCTCTCCCGCTCGCGGTCGGGCTCCAGCCTCCCGACCCGGGGCAAGCTGTACATTAACACGGCCGCCGGCGGCACCCCCGGCCCCGCCGGGGCCACCCCCTTCAATGACGACCACCCGGCCATCGTGCAAAGCTGGCGCAGCGAGAACACCGGGCCCTTCTCGCCGATCCGGTCGCGGCCAAGCTCCCGCGCCGGGGGCGGCGGCGGCGGCGGCCACTCCTCCAGGCCGTCCAGCCGGCCCGGCTCGCGGCCCGGCTCGCGCCCGGCCTCCCCCACCTCGGGGGTTCCCCACTCGCCGACCGCCGGGCCCGGCGGGCCACACTCCCCCCGGATGGGCGCCTTCGATGGCGCCGGGGGGATCCCCTCCTCTCCCTACCCCCAGACGCTGGACTGGATCAAGAGCCTGACCCCGGCCCAGCAGACCCAGCTGTCCAACCTCCAGCGGCACTTCTGCGTGCTCTACTCGGATGACATCAACTACCGGGTGTCCAACGAGTATGACAAGCTCTTCAAGCGCGAGCGCACCGACAGCTTCATGACGCCCAACCTGAATAGCGACCGCGCGCCGCCCACGGTCCGCCAGCTGCCCAACCGCAATGTGCTGAGCTTCTTCCGCGGGCTCAAGCCCCAGGACTATGCCGGGTTCTTCATCCTGCATGTGCTGTACCTGGTGCGCGAGCACTTCTACATCGACTCCTCCGAGTGGATGGTCCCGGCGGCGAGCACGACGGCCTCCGGCGATGCGGCCGGCACCGGCGCCGCCATGAACCGCTTCCTGCCGGAGATCGAGCAGCGCCTCACCGACCACGGCCTCGATGCCCGGACCCTGGACAATGCCCTGCTCGAGCACAATGTCCTCCGGACGTCCGCCCTGTCCGGGCGCTTTATCGACCTCTTCACCAAGCGCATCGAGCGCATTTGCCCGGACTCCGGCGTGCGCGAGCTCCTCGAGCCGCACAAGAACACCCCGGTCAATGAGGTCAAGCGCCTGGCCCTGGAGTGGGCCCAGAGCCTGCCCACCCGCGCCGAGGCCGAGTCCCTCATGCTGGCCGCCACGCCCATCCTCCCGGCCACCGACGAGTCGGAGCAGCCGGAGCAGCCGGAGCAGCCGGCCCCGCAGGCGCAGCAGCAGGAGCAGGAGCAGGAGGAGGCCGGCCTTCCGGAGGATGCCGGCCAGGCGGCCCCGGCCGCCGCCCCGACCCCCGACAAGCTGGCCCTCATCCGCGAGGCCGTGGACATGGACTTCGTGGAGACCTGCGATGACACCACCCTCTGCAGCTACCTGTGGCACATCAGCAAGTCGCAGTTCGGCCGGAAGGCCGCCTCGGCTTCCATCGCTCTGCGTGCTTTGCGCCTGGTTCGCGCCTGCCCGCAGCTCATCGACATCCTGGATGTGGTGGCGGATCTCCACCCGAACCCGGAAAAGCGCGGGTTCCTCTTCGGCCTGACCGACCGCGAGCCCTCGCGCCACCCGTTGAAGCCCTTCACATCCTCCACCACCGCCCTCGGCCAGTACCCGGACAATGATGCCCTGCCGGACATCGGTCTCTTGATCCCGGTTTTCATGCCGATGCTGCGCCAGGTCATCAGCGCCCAGTCCGGCCCGATGACCCCGTCGGCTTCCTTCGACCAGCTTCCCCGGTCCTGGTCCATCGACGGGGGCATGCTCCTGTCCATGTCGCGGTCCCCCTCGACGGACTTCCTCCTTGCGGCGTCCGGCGCGGCTGGCGGATCCCCGCCCCCGGGGCTGGTGCTGAACCACCAGCCGCGCGGGACCTTCTCCCGGTCGGCCTCGGGCATCTCCCTGAGCTCGGTCCTCTCGCCCGTCGGCGGCCAGGCCGATGGCGGCACCGCCACGCCGTCCTCCTCCAACTGCGACACCACGGCCGCCGTCAACCGCATCTCCCGGCAGCTGTCCTCCATCGACATCGCCGCCAACCAGTAGAGGAGAGCCGTCCCCCCCCCCCC